ACACACACACACACACACACACACACACGTACGCAAGCACGCGCACACGCGTCGCTCCCCTCTCAACACGCGAGCGCGCACGCAGGAAGAGAATTATCGATTGCCCATCAAATTGGTGTCTTCGTGTGCAGACCGAGAGGAGGCGGAGGAGGAGGGGGAGGTGGTAGTGGGCGACAACTAAGAAGGTGAAACAGTAAAAGGGTGAAGCTGTGAGAAACCATAGCCTGCTAGGTTCCTTGCGATGATTTGACTTCGTCCGAAGGCAACACAGACCAGAACAGTTGCGCAACAGAAGCTGCTGGTACAGACTTGAAAGCTACTTCGGCCATGGCTGACCCTTCCACGAAGAGTGAGGAGACAGGAATGCGTGATCATCTCCTGCTGTTGAAGATTCTTACCTAGGCCCACGGCTTCTTGTCTTACTTTCTGGCCTAAATGTTCCTTCTGTTGTTATTGATACTTTCCTTTCATACAAATTTTGCAAGGACTGTAAGTTTGCCACCACTGCTGATGTGAGGACATCACAGGCACGCTACAAAAGGAGCGAAAAAACGAGTACCGCACGCACGACTCACTCCCCAGCGAGATAGGCGGCGTCCGCAGGACAAGCCGGAGGGAATGCAGACGCCCGTTAAACGAGGGGGAGTAGGCGACCCAAGCCGTCCGTCTTAGTACGCTCTCCCACGGAATTCGAAGTGAACGGAAGGAAGGCAAAGAAGACAGACAGTCAGAAGGCCAGAAGGAGGTGGGACTCGCGGCCAAACAACTGGAAAGGAAAACACACAAAGACGAGTGATTGCAAGCGGCCGTCAGCGATGAGCGACATGGTATAGGCGATTGGCTCAGACCTTCAGAACGATGAAGGATATCCTCGGCGAGAGGGGTTGACACTCGCATGGAACACGACGAGGACACGGGTTTCCCCAATTAGAAGATGCCTAAAGATCTAAACAGGGAAGAAAGTAGAGAGCATGAGAGACTCCTGACGAGAGGGGAACGGTAGAAAGACCGCTCCTCCCTCTCCCAACCTTACGAAGTGGCCGACTCACCCTCCCCTCACCAGCTGGGAATGAGGAAGCGGCTCAAGGGGGGGAAGGGCCACTGCACGTCCTCAGAGGCGAAGAGGCCCGGGCATGCTGGGGACCGTGTTGGTATGCGACACGATCACGATCATCACCGCTCGCGCTCCGCAAATCTTGCTCATCCGAAATCGCCCTAACGACGACGACGACGACGACGACGACGACACCGGCTGTAAAACCCCTTCCCCCGCCTCCAATTCGATATACACATCTTCTCCTACCCACAACTCACATATTATAGGCAACCGAAACCGCCGGGTCGCGATCGCCCTTCGCACCACCCCTGTATTGACACCGAACCATTCCACGCTCCCAGCAGGCAATCTTCACCGTGGCAAGGCCTGCCTCCGGCCTCCCCATCGTCTGCGTAGCCTGAGCTACCGTCATTGGGCCCAGCCTCGTTCTCCGCTTCAGACCGTCCATGATCTGTTCCTTGTCGAGTGTGCTTGCCAAACCAGAAAAACACATTCGAGCCTCGGTTTGCCAAGGCAAGATTTCGCCCACCGAGCCGTTGCAGGGGTGGGGCCTGGCAGTGGGTCTGATATGTGTGGCATTTGCAAAAACACAAATTCTCCGAGTTTCAACTCTCACTACCTATCTACCACTGATACAATGGACCCCTGCAAGCATAGCTACCCCCCACAATCAAGGGGATGCATGTTGGGCCCCCCCAAAATTGGCATTTGTTAGGGGGTAGAGTGGGACCCCCTGCAAGGGGGCAGGCTAACGCAAAGACCTAGCATTCTGATATGCCTGCACCAGAAAGCGTTGAAAAGCTCTTTTTTTCTTGCGAGTTTTACCGCCCACAACTCTCTTAGAGTCTCTTTTCCCCAATGAGAAAAGATGTTGAAATTCACAACAAATTCATAGTTGGCGCTGCGCCCCCAACGGGCATTTGAGCAGCGGTTGATCGCGTTGTGGAGCTAGGAGTGCTTGCTACATTTGCACGAGTCAAGACTATGCCTGAGGTGGCAAAGGCATTGGGCTCATGGGCGTTAGTTGGGACACGCTTCACACGAGCTATGCCATGCTCCTGGCTATGTTCAGTCCCGATCGATGCTGGTTTTTGACTTCACATTGGGAATCCCTTTGCGCTTGAGGAGAGTTGCGGGCGAGGGGCGACGTGGGGGCAACAGAGGGGCGGGGTCTGCACATCAGGCAATACCAGATAGGGAGCCAGTCAGGGTTAGTATTCCCTTGGTCGCAGATATTGACTTACCGTGAGGGCACGGGTGCGCAGCCCGTAGTTCGTTTGTTTATGTGGTTCGGTAAGGGTAAGGTAGTGATTATGCTGTATGTATGTTTTGTCATGTTCGCTATACACAACTCGAAGAGAGTGTGTATG